AAGTGATTTCTTTGCCATTTGGAACTATACATTTTTTTAAATATATTTTATTGGTTTTTTTACAGAGAGGAAGGGTGAGGGATAGAGAGTTAGAAACATTGATGAGAGAGAAACATCGATCAACTGCTTCCTGCACACCCCCCTACTGGGGATATGCCCGCAACCAAGGTACATGCCCTTGACCGGAATCGAACCTGGGACCCTTGAGTCCGCAGGCTGATGCTCTATCCACTGAGCCAAACTGGTTAGGGCTCGAACTATAATTTTTTAATACTGGAAGCCGAATTGTTTTTTTTTCCCAAATTTTATCTTATGCACAATTTAATGCCCACTTACATGATACACTTTTAAGTTTAGTCTACGTTGCTAATATTCTCCACCATTCACTTTAAGTCAAAGCATTCAATAGTACATTAAGTGAAGTTAAGTATTGTATTATTTGTCAATTTTCCTGGTGTTAAATACTCTCATCATGATCAGTTTTAAACTGACAAAATGATGGGACTGAGCATGGGCCTACTAAGATATTTCAGTAGCAAATCATTCCAACACGCTGATATAGTAGGTACAAATATACTCAAGAACATTCATGTTAAAGTAGTAAAATAATGTGAAGTGGCAACTTTCAAACATTTTAAACTTTGATGTCAGTATAATTGATTTAAAACATACAGTGGGGCCTTGACTTACGAGTGTCCCGACTAACGAGTTTTTTTGAGATATGAGCCATCTCTCTGCTGATTTTTTGCTTTGAGTTGCAAGCTCAAAAAAATTCGGGTTACAAGCCAGCTTCAGATACCCCACCGCTAGTTGGCGAAGGGGTGTGTCTGAGGCTTGATTTGACATACGAGTAATTTGAGTTATGAGCTCTGTCAGGGAACAAATTAAACTCGTAAGTCAAGGCCCCACTGTATATTCAAAAAATATATTTTTATTGATTTCAGAGAAGAAGGGAGGGGGTAGAGAGAGAGAGAGAAACATCAAAGATGAGAGGGAATCAATGATAGACTGCCTCCTGCAAGCACCACAGTATGAATCCACCCACCACCTGAGCAGGTGTCCTGACCAGAAATCCATCAGAGACCTGCAGCGTCATAGGTTAACACTCAACCACTGAACCACACCACCTGGGCTCTCCTAAGATTTTCAGGGATCCCACTCACCTGTAACCAGGGTAGCAGTGAGCAGTGGCAGCTCATCCTGGGCTAACACCCAGGATCTGCACTCAAGGCCTCCTTTTCTCTGAATGCCCAGTGAGCTAACAGCAGCCTCACTTTGGCTCATTTATTTCCCACTATGTTTCTAAAGTGGCAAAGGAGCCACACCTAGTCCCTGTGCTGTTGCTTGTTCTATCATAGGGCCTTCCTTTTTTTATTATCCCCAGCTTTAATTAATGTACTCTCAAAATATTCGGGACTCATCTTGTGAAATCTTTTCTAACATGAAATAATGAACTCAAACTCTACAGACCAAGCTGAGGCAGACCCACTGCAGGATGTTTCCTGTTTCCGAACACAGTTATGCCTGGACATCTTCTATAAAGAGAGACCCAGGCATTATTTTGTTTAGAGCACTTGGGGAAAAACATGATGGCCCTCATTCACCTCGGTGTTGTTGACTCAAATCAATCTATTTTTTTAAAAAATGTATTTTATTGGTTTTTTTACAGAGAGGAAGGAAAGGGATAGAGAGTTAGAAACATCAATGAAAGAGAAACATCTATCTACTGCCTCCTGCACACCCCCCACTGGGGTTGTGCCCGCAACCAAGGTACATGCCCCTGACCGGAATTGAACCCAGGTCCCTTCAGTTCGCAGGCCGACGCTCTATCTACTGAGCCAAACTGGTTACAGTGACTCAAATCAATCTTAACACTATTCGATTTTTTAGGGAGAGGGAGATGGAGAAACATCAATGATGATAGAGAATCATTGATCCGTTGCCTCATGCGTGCCCTTCCGGGAAAGAGTCCCCAACCTGGTCATGTGCCCTGTCCTGGAATCGAACCAGAGATACCTTGGTTCTTGGGTCCACGCCCAACCACTGAGCCATGCCATGTGGGCAAACCATTGTTGTTATTGTTGACTCCATAACAAATAGTCCCAATTTACTCCATCCTCATCCCCCTTTGCTTCCTTTTATCCTGCCCCCACCATTTCTAGGCCCTCACCACATTATTGTCTATGTCCATGGACTATGCATATATGTATATACTTTTAAAAATATATTTTTATTGATTTTAGAAAGAGGAAGGGAGAGGGAGAGATAAATACATCAATGAAGAGAGAGAATCACTGATTTGCTGCCTCCTGCAGGTCCCCACTCCCATCCCCACCCCCACCCAACTGAGAATTGAACCTACAACCCATGTATGTTCCCTGACCAAGAATAGAACCGTGACCTCATGGATCATAGGTCAGTGCTCAACCATTGAGCCCCAGCAGCTGGGCTATATTATTTAAAATAAAATGCCCTGACCGGTTTGGCTCAGTGGATAGAGCGCTGGCCTGCGGACTCAAGGGTCCCCGGTTCGATTCCCGTCAGGGGCATGTGCCTTGGTTGCAGGCACATCCCCAGTTGGGGGTGTGCAGGAGGCAGCTGATTGATGTTTCTCTCTCATCGATGTTCCTGACTCTCTATCCCTCTCCCTTCCTGTCTGTAAAAAATCAATAAAATATATTTTAAAAAAATAAAAAGAATAAAATAAAATAAAATGTATTTTTTATCATTGATAGTATTACAGATGTCTGCCATTTTCGCCTGCACATATATTCCTTGGGGGATCTCTCCCAGTCCTCCCCACAACCCTCTCCTGGGAGATCTGCCTGTCTGTTCCAGCTAACCAGGCCTCTAGTCCCATCTTGTCTTTCCCCAGGGCCACTTGATGAGCCACATCACCTTTATTCACCAATGTCATTGGCTGGGATGCTAGTACTCCCCTTGGCATTTGGGAAAACTACATTACCCAGGAAGAAATGCGCCGACATGGGCGGAGCTACAGAGCACTTTTGGTGTCAGTGAATCTGGTTAGGGCAGAACTTCCACCTTTCTCCTCCAGGCGGGCATTTTGACCTCTTCAGTTTCTTCAAGGACTCACAGGCTTCAGCCCACTGGTCGTGAGGAGGAGGAGGCCTAGGAGGCAGCGTCCTTGCTGTGCGGGGTGTGTCTGAGGCTTGTTGAGCACCAACAGGCCAGGATTGGGAACTCCGTGCCTCCCAAACTCCTCTCTGCTTAAGCTTTATCTCAGCCTGACCCCATTTAACCCTCCAGCCTTGGGGACTGGCACCTCTCAGTTACTGCAGCCCAGGATGCCACATCCAGGACAGTGAGTCGCTCCTGGGTGACACATGATTGATGGGGAAAGAGGGCCACAGGCTGCAATGCCACCTTCTAAGGACACGGTGGTGTGGCTAAGCCTGGAGGATTCGGAAACCCATGCCTGTTGTGGGATAAAGGCAACAAAGAGACGAGGTGTGGTTTTGCAGGAGGAGTTTTACTTTCACTCTCAGAACGCTGGGGCCATAGATGGTTGTGAAAAGAAGAGGGACATTGTCCGAGGCAGGATTCTAACTTTTCCTAACATTGCTCAGAGGAAGGACAGACTAGAAGACAGAGGACAGCAGCTGTGGACAGGAAGGGGAAGTCCTGTAAATGATAAGGGAACTGGCAAGAGTGAGCCCTGAGGACTGAGCCCTGAGATAACACAGGCATCTGGAGGGCACCTGGCCTCTGGGCTGGGCAAGGGTATTGAGCAGTCTGAGCCCATAGATCCTGGTGGTTGCCAGGCTCTCAACAGACCATTTTCTTTCCACAAATTCCGGCAAATACAGAATGAATTAGGTGTACCGGTTCATGAATATTATTTCAGGGCCTCACACTCTTGTGGCCTCTGCGAGAGTGTTGTCCTGAGAAGGAAGCTGTGTGAGAGAAGTGTTGTTTAAAGAACTCTGTGCAACAGCAGTGCAAAGCTATGGTCTCAGCACCTTGCGATTGGGGTCAAGAGGGCGAAGTGTGATGCCATGTATTTGGTGTCTTTGAGAAACAATCTGAGGGTGTTGCCTGACAAGACCAGTATCCAGTCACTCACACTATTGTTATGGCCAGCATCTCTCTTTAACCTATGGTTTGACACACTCTGTTGATAAAATTCAGTGTAGCCTGCATGGAAGGTCCAGAGCTCAGGTATCTTTTATCTGCTCAAATGCCTTTAATATGGTGGGAAGACAAAATGTCAGTAGGAATATAAGAAGACAGTGGCTTTCATGGGATGAAGGCCTGGTATTTTCTCTGATGTGAGGAGTAGACAGAGCAGATGGATGTGGAGGGTCGGGAGCATGACAGACTTACAGTCATAGGAGTGAATCTGATCTTGGGCTGTACTTTCCCCATTATGACAGGATATGAACTATGAGGACGTGGCCATTGTCTTCTCTCAGGAGGAATGGGAGCTCCTTGATGAGGCTCAGAGACTTCTGTACTGCGATGTGATGCTGGAAGTGTTTGCACTTGTGTCATCTGTAGGTAAGACCTTGATGTTCTCCCAAGTGTCTTGAGGTGATGCCCTCTCTTCCTTTATTCCTCAGGCATAGCTTTCTCTCTCCCACAGCAAGAATAGGGTTTCTGCTAAATTTCCCCACTGTCTTGTCAAATGTGCTGTGGCTGCCAGGGATGAGCTGGATGTAGAGTCCTGAGCAAAGGACTCCACGAACATCTCGCTAACCCCTGTTACCTCAAAAAGCACTGGAAACAGAAGGTCAGGAATCTTCCAGTGAGCTTAATGGGGCCCAGCTTGCACTTTCTCTTCATGGGAGGCTGACAGTGTCCACATGCATGGCTTCAACTTCTGCCTTCTTTCTCTAGGTGACCTGTGCCATGTTATGGTCTTTACTTAAAAGGACCATAGGCTGTTCTTGTGAGACCTGCAATCAATTGTTTGTTATATTCTCTTCCCTGAATACTAGAGCAAGGTGTGTTGCTCTGGCCAGAGCTGACTGCTCACCTCTTCATCACCTGTTCCTCTGCATTGGTGCCTCTGCAGTATTCTGCAACATTGACTTGCACGTGTGTTATGAGGTGAACATATGTGCTAATTAGTCCTCGAAACCAGCTATGCCTTTATTGAATTTTACTTGGAGTAAGAACTGACCAATTCTTGTACAGCTCGTCCTTGTCCCCAGCAGACAAGCCGTGCTGAATGCTGTTAGTTGAAGGATTAGCTGGAAATCCATATTCTCATCCATGTGGTGCTTGCCATGTTTGTGTCTTATTTCTAGTGATGCCTCCCTATTTTGTGATCTTCATTAGCCCAGGAAGTCTCAAGAGCCTCTTATCAACCCTTCCTAGACATCTCTAATTTTCAGACAATTGAATGAAAACAACATGTGATGTGTAATACACTTTGGTAATGGGACTTCCCCATGTCACCACATTCAACATTAATTTCTTTACCCTGTCTCACTTTTCAGGTTGTTGGCATAAAGTCGATGGTGATGAGGCCTGTTCTGCTCAGAGTGTATCTATAAAAGGAGAGTCGCAGGTCAGGGCTTCTAAGACAGCTCCAGCCACCCAGAAGATCCCTCTGTGTAAGCGGTGTTTCTCTGTGTTAAAAGGTATTTTGCACCTGAGTGGGTCACATGCAACAGACTTTGAGCAGAAAGCCTTCTTCTGTAGTGACCCATGTGTTGGAGACTCCTGTTCCTGTGCAAACCCTCACGAGCAACAGAGGAATGAATGTGGAGAGGAGCCCTGGAAACAAGGTATGGACAGGGCCTCCTCAGTGAGTAGGTCCAATTTCTTATCGTTGGTGCCTTCCCTCAGCGGGAAGGTTGGGAAAGACTTGCTGTACAACTCAGAGCTACTCCGGCACCAGGCCACTCTCAACACTGAGGAGCTACCCTGTGGCAGTGAGATTTCACAGCAATTTCTTCATGGAAATAGTCACCACCAGTGGGGTGAATGTGAAAATGCTGCTAAACACAACCTGAAAGTTGTTCAACATCAGGGTGTATTTTCTGGAGAACTGATTTATGAGTGTAACAAATGTAGGAAAGTGTTTAGACAAAACTTGAATGTCATTCGACATAGGAGAGTTCACACTGGAGAAAAGCAGTATGAATGTAGTGAATGTGGGAAGTTCTTCAGAGAAAGACGTGCACTCATTAGACACCAGAGAGTTCACACTACAGAGAAGCCATATGAGTGTATGGAACGTGGGAAGTCTTTTAGCCAAAAATCCAACTTTACAAAGCACCTGAGAGTTCACAGTGGCGACAAGCGATATGAATGCTCTGATTGTGGAAAGTCCTTCAATGTTAACTATACCCTCAAAGTACACCAGAGAGTTCACACTGGAGAAAAGCCCTATAAGTGTACAGAATGTGGGGTGTCATTTCGTGTAAGGTCTCACCTCACTAGACATCTCAGAGTTCACACTGGAGAGAAGCCATATGAATGTACGGAATGTGGGAAGTTTTTTAGCCAAAAATCCAACTTTACAAAGCACCTGAGAGTTCACAGTAATGACAAGCCATATGAGTGCTGTGATTGTGGGAAGTCCTTCAATGATAAGTATTATTTCAAAGTACACCAGAGAATTCACACTGGAGAAAAGCCCTATAAGTGTACAGAATGTGGGGTGTCATTTCGTATAAGGTCTAACCTCACTAGTCATCTCAAAGTTCACACTGGAGAGAAGCCATATGAATGTACTGAATGTGGGAAGTCTTTTAGCCAAAAATCTTGCCTTATTAGGCACCTGAGAGTTCACAGTGATGAAAAGGCATATGAGTGCTGTGATTGTGGGAAGTCCTTCAATGATCAGTCTTATCTCAAAGTACACCAGAGAGTTCACACTGGAGAAAAGCCCTATAAGTGTACAGAATGTGGGGTGTCATTTCGTGTAAGGTGTACCCTCACTAGACATCTCAGAGTTCACACTAGAAAGAAGCCATATGAATGTACTGAATGTGGGAAGTCGTTTATCAAAAAAGTTTACCTTATTAGACACCTGAGAGTTCACAGTGACGACAAGCCATATTAGTGCTGTGATTGTGGAAAGTCCTTCAGTAAGAAGTCTATCCTCAAAGAACACCAGAGAAGTTCACACTGAAGAAAAGCCCTAAAGATATAGAGCAGAGGTTCTCAAACTACGGCCCGTGGGCCACATGCAGCCCGCCGAAAACATTTATCCGGCCTGCCGGGTGTTTTGCCGCCGCTGCCTTTCCTGCTTAGCAGCTGACTCGTCCCGGGCCCACAGTGCACGTGTGTGGAATGTCTGAGGGACAGTGAACGGGCCCCCTGTTTAAAAAGTTTGAGGACCCCTGATATAAAGAATGTGGGATGTCCTTTCCTTGAAGGGCTCAGCACACTAGCCACCACAGAGTTCACACTGGAGAGAAGTGTTAAATGTGCAGGGAATGTTTTCTTTTTCTCAGTATAACAACACTGAAGGTGACTCTTTGGGACCTATTTTTCTGAATTTAAACGCCTTTTAATGGAACATGCACTCTGATGTATTCATCAGTTTCAGGCACAAGTGAGGCTTGAAGGAGCTGCATTGTACTTGCTAACATGCCCAGACCTGCTAACTGATTGATGTCACAGCGAGCATGTGTGGCTGAAGATATTTCACCTCTACCACCTGGCTCACCTGAAGAGTGTGCATCAGTCACAACCCCTGTGTGCTCAGGGGAAATGTATTCTGTGTTCTCACTTGTGCTTGAGAACATTATGATTACTTCAAGCTCTTGACAGGATCTTCCTTTCTGACTAGGGAATGCATCTGATCCAGGTTTTGTTCAGAGCACCCACCCTCAGCTAAGGAGTGCTGCAACTTTCAGAGACATTGTGGGTCTCACATTATGCTTTTATGAATTGTTTTACTTTCTAATTCACCAACCTGCAAATTGCTTACTGCCCTCTGTTCTGGTTTATGATCTTTAGTAAACATGTTTTTTCTTTTGTAGCTTTTCTCTTTTTTTAAATTTCACTCTCTGGATGATTTGATACAAAAGCTGTGATCTATCATCATGGCGAGATGAACAGATATGGTGGGGTCCCAAACTGTCTGTGCTTTGGAAAGCTATAATAATGTGGTCTTTGTCCAATAATGGCTTATTTTGTACCATTGACCAAGGCAATGAAAGAAAGTTTGCATAACTTTGTGGTTCCAATTTACAGCCTGGTGCCTCTAATGTTGGTGAGGTCAGTGGTCCCCCAGAAGAGGAGTCCTTTTTTGTTCTATCATTGTTCTCACATTATCCTCTGATGAATCGTTTTAGGTTCTAATTCACCAACTTACAAACTGCTTTGCCATCCTCTGTTCTGGTTTATGATCTTTTTAGTAAAGGTGTTTTTTGCTTTTGTACCTTTAATTTTGTGGGTTATATTCACTGCCTGGGATGATTTGAAAGGATAGTTGTGATCTGTCAAATGCAGCGGGGAACACATATGGTGGGGTCCCAAACTTTCTGCACTTTGGAAGGCTCATAATAATGGCAAAAAATCACTCTTTACCCAATATTGGTTTATTTTGTATTGCTAACCAAGTCCTTCAACAAAAATCTGCATGACTTTTTGGTTCTAATTTTTTAGCCTGGTGCCAGTATTATTGGTGAGGTCAGTGATCACCTGGAAGAAGAGTCCTTTGTTGTGCTCCTGTGAACAATATAAACTATATTCTCTGTTCATAGTATGTCTTACTGCAAAGGAGCCCTGAGCCATGATGTGTGAAATATCATAGGCTGGTTTTATTGGTTGTAACACTGTGAAGTGCAACTAATATTGGGACAGACACTGTTTTCATAATGAGTGGAAGAGACATCAGTATAGTGGATGAAAATTGCCTCTTCTGAACATTATCCATAAATGACCCAGTCCTGAAGCTTGTTTGTTCTTTTTGTAACTGAAGTGATTGGTTGTGAAAAGAATCTCATGGTTTTGGGGATTCCCTCGGCCCCTCTATGGTGTTCACCTCAAGGTTATCACAAGAGGAAAAATTCAAAGCTAAAGGAAGGATAATCTTATAATTAGTCCCAGGTTGTGTGTTTTGTGACAGTTCAGCATTCCTGATCAATCTGATGGCAGTAGCCTTAACTTCTGGACAGTATTTGCTGCCACAGAGGCAACAATGATTCTCTCAGGAAATGAGGAGAGAGATGGTGATGTGTATATAGTGTTGCCATCTTAATTTTCTAAGAATAGAGGGATAGCTATGTTTTTATTTGGAACCACAATTAAGGGTTTACCTACTAGGTGTACTAGGTAATAATGGTGGATTTTGTAATCAAAGAAAATATGAAAATTTCAAGAGAAATATCAAAAGTGTATGAATTTCATCAGCCTTTAGTTTTATATATTTTAAAATGTATTTTTTAATTAAATCTTTATTGTTCAGATTACATTTGTTCCTCTTTTTTTATCCCCCCATAACTACCCTCTTCCCAGTTTCCGCCCCACCCTCCGCCCTCACTCCCCACCCACTGTCCTCATCCATAGGTGCACGATTTTTGTCCAGTCTCTTCCCGCATCTCCCTCTCCCCTTCCCCCCCCCCAAGAATAGTCAGTCCATTCCCTTTCTATGTCCCTGATTCATTATAATCACCAGTTCATTCTGTACATCAGATTATTTATTCACTTGATTCTTAGATTCACTTGTTGATAGATGCATGTTTGTTGTTCATAATTTGTATCTTTACCTTTCTTTTCTTCCTCTTCTTAAAGGATACCTTTCAGCATTTCGTCTAATACTGGTTTAGTGGTGATGATCTCCTTTAGCTTTTCCTTGTCTGTGAAACTCTTTATCTGACCTTCAATTCTGAATGATAGCTTTGCTGGATAAAGTAATCTTGGTTGTAGGTTCTTCATATTTATCACTTTGAATATTTTTGCCACTCCCTTCTGGCCTGCAAAGTTTCTGTTGAGAAATCAGCTGACAGTCGTATGGGTATTCCCTTATAGGTAATTGAGTCTCTTTCTCTTGCTGCTTTTAAGATTCTCTCTTTGTCTTTTGCTCTTGGCATTTTAATTATGATGTATCTTGGTGTCGTCCTCTTTGGATTCCTTTTGTTTGGGGTTCTCTGCGCTCCTTGACCTGTAAGTCCATTTCTTTCACCAGGTGGGGGAAGTTTTCTGTCATTACTTCTTCAAATAGGTTTTCAATATCTTGCTGTCTCTCATCTTCTGGCACCCCTATAATTCTGATGTTTGTACGCTTGAAGCTGTCCCAGAGGCTCCTTACACTATCTTCGTATTTTCGTATTCTTTTTTCATTTTGCTTTTCCGATGGGTGTTTCTTGCTTCTTTGCATTTCAAATCTTTGACTTGATTCTTGCGCTCCTCTGGTCTGCTATTGGGTGTCTGTATAATATTCTTTATTTCAGTCAGTGTATGCTTAATTTCTAGTTGATACTTTATCACAGCATCGAGGGTCTCATTAGATTTCGTGAAGCTCTAATCAAGTTTATTGGCAGCTTCTAGCACATTATTGAAAGCCCTCAAAATTGCTTTTTTTAGTTCTATATCCTCCATTTCTGTCATGTTTTTTTGTCTCCGCATATTTTATGCTTTCTTGGTGCACCCCCTAGTGGTCTTTGTGCGCAGTCTTGTTCTAGTTAAGCCTTGATTGTTGTAGTTAATACTAGAGGGATTTGACCACCAGGCCGACTGGCTGTGAGAATCACCTGTGTCTGCCGTGGGAAAACTTCTTAACTCTGGGGAGGTGCTAATCTAGCCTTTACCTGAGGCTATCTGGCAAATGGCTCTGCGCAGGGCTTGGGCGGGGCGGTTCGCAGGGGATCAACAGGGCGGGCGGAGGGAGCAGTTATGGCTGCTCTCAGTTCCGTTCCCAGAGGCTCTTCTTCTCAGAACCCCAGCAACTGCTGCAAACCTCGGAGAGAAAGCTGTCCTCACGTTCCAACTGATGCCAGATAATCCTGCTTCTCCCGTTTGAGTCTGAGTCCCTAGAGACTCGCCCGGATCTGGAGCTCAGAGTCTGAGACTCCCTCCTGATTGAAAACGACAACCGCGCCCTCAGCCACCAGCCCGCTTTGCGCACGCACCTCTGCACCTTTGTATTTTCCACACTGCACCTCCTCTGAGCCTCCGTATGCTGCTCTCTTTCCTTCTAGTTGAAGAGTCTCTCCTCAGCCAGCCTTCCTGTGGTTCTGGGTGATGTCCGTTCCCTCTTTTAGTTGTATTTTTGAAGTGGTTGTTTGCGGCAGCAATCTCCAGTGTTTACCTATGCCTCCATCTTGGTCTCTCCCTTAAAATGTATTTTTATTGATTTTTAGAGAGAAGGGCAGAGGGAGAGAAACATCAATCTCCTGCCTCCTGCGTGCCCACTACTGCAGATTCAGGCGGGCATGTGCCCTGATCTGGAATCCAACCAATGACCTTTCAGTGAATGTGATCATGCCCAACAATATAAGACACAGTAGCCATGAGAGTTTATACTTTTATTATTTATTTACCGTTGTATTATTTTCAATACTAACAACTCTAACCTAGTTTTACACACCCTGTATTTACCTCTTGCCCTTTTATACTCTTCTGTATTCTCTACCCTCCATACAGCCATTGATTTCCCTCCTCTTATAATACATTAGTTCATATTTTTCATAATTTTATAGGCACTATAAGGTGTATAATTTTTAACAAACTATGACTTCTTTCTTGCTACCCAGGCATTTTTAGATTCAACAGTAATGTTTATGTAAATAGTTAATTTTTTATTGCTAATAATATTGTATTCTATGGATAACCACTTTATCCATTGATCTGTCACTGCTCAGAATCTTTTACCAATTGTTTAACCGTTTGAGATCGCGCTGCTTGGTATTTCTCGACATAAAATAAAACAAGCGCTATCACGCTGTTTGGGTCTTTTCGTACTCATTTAGAGAAAGCGCGGTTGCGCTGTTTGGGATTCTTCGACAGTGTTTTTTCAATACCCCCTGGGACTCAAATGAATCGTATGTTTTCTCGATATAAAATATCAGCAGCGCAATCGCGCTGCTTGGGACTCAAACGGATAAATGAATTTATTACCTTGAGAGCATAATGCTAGGAAAAATAATCCAGTCAGAGAAAGCTAAGTATCACATGATCTCACTCATGAGTGGAATGTAATGAACAACATAAACTGATGAATAAAAATAGGTCAGGAGACAGAGAAACATCAAACAGACCTTCAAACCTCAGAGTGAAGGTAAGAGAGGGTGGCTGGGGGGTGGGAGGGGTAAGAGATCAACTGAATAACTTGTATGCATGTAAGCGTAACCATTGAACACAGACAATAGGGGAGTGAAGGCCTGGGCTGGAGGGTGGGGGC